CCCATCAATGGCAAATTCTTAAAGAAGTATTATCCTTGAAATTGCGACGCTCCTCGACGTACGAGCCTAAACTGCAAGTCATGACGCTCCTTGACGCACGAGCCTAAACTGCATGTTGCTACACTCCTGGCCCGCATGAGTCTAAACTGTGCACGGCCCCTTATATATAAACTAGGTACGGCCGTTAGGACGTAAAAAAAAAGTCCGCTAGGTTGAAAATCTCGAAAGAGGCAGCCTAGGCAAAATTTAGGATGTAAAAAAAAAAAAAAATCTACCCAGTCTGAACTACGGTATGACTTGATCCTCTCCATCGAGGTACGTAGGCAGCTTAGAGTTTCATTCTAAGTTCAGTCGCATAAGTTCAAAAGATACATATTGCCCCAATTGTTATTCGAACGAAGTATGAAGGAATGTAAGATCAAGCTGAAATGCCATCCTCCTACTGAACTTTGACCTCATTTGATTTAAAGGGGGCAACCCTCCATGGTAAATTGATATCTTCAATGGCCGATTTTAGGAGGATGTCAAGTATTTGAATTAAAGTCCAGGGATTCTCTATGTCTTCAGGTTCGCCAAACCTTCAAGTTTGTTGGTCTCCAAATCCGCCCTCTGCCTTAAAAAAAAGGGGGAAGAGAAGAGAGACATCAAAAGGAAACACAAGTATAAGGAAAAGATTGCTTGGCACAACGTTTCAAATTCAATGAGACTTGAACTCAAGATATTTGTGAGAATATGGCTCTTAAATTTCGATTGATGGCAAGTAAGACATCTTCCGATCTCGAGGCTTCCATACCAAGATATGAATTCTTGTGAGACTGCACAAATCTGGAATTGATGGCGTGGTGCAATGTAAAGTTGATTTCAAAATATTATCTGGGACGATTCTGAAGTTGTTTGATTCAGAATTTTGGATATGTTCTAGATCTTGAAGTCTAGTTTTCTTGAAATCAAACGGTTTGCAATTTTGATATTTCTACATCGAGATATTAATTTTTTGGTGAGACTGCGCAAATCTGGAATTGATAGCATGGTGCAATATAAAGTTGATTTCAAAATATTATCTGGGATGATTCTGAAGTTGTTTGATTGTGAATTTTGGATATGTTCTAGATCTTGAAGTCTGGTTTTCTTGAAATCAAACGGTTTGCAATTTCAATATTTCTACACCGAGATATGAATTTTTTTGGTGAGACTGCGCAAATCTAAAATTTTCAACATGGTGAAATCGAAAGTTGGTTTCAAAATATTATCCGGCGCGATTATGAAGGTTTTTGATTTTGAGTATTGGATATCTTTTAGATATTGAAGTCATCAAACGGTTCATTATTTGGACTCTCCCACGACAAGATATGAATCATTTGTTACAAGCACGTAAAGCTGAAAATCATGCGACTAAGATAAAAGTCGAACAATGTAAAGCAAAAGAGAAGCTGAAATATTTAAGCCCTCGAAGTCTCCAAGTTGAAGTCTTCAAGTGTATTCAAAGTTGAAGTCTTCAAGTCCGTCGGTCTTCAAGTTGAAGTCTTCAAATTCGCTGATCTTCAAGTTGAAATATTTAGGCCCTCCAAGTCTCAAAGTTGAAGTCTTCAAGTCCGTCGGTCATCAAGTTGAAGTCTTCAAATTCGCCGATCTTCAAGTTGAAATATTTAGGCCCTCCAAGTCTCAAAGTTGAAGTCTTCAAGTTCGTCGGTCTTCAAGTTTCAGTCTTCAAATTCGTCGGTCTTAAAGTTGAATTGTTTAAGCCCTCCGAATCTTCGAGTTGAAGTCTGCAAAGTTCGCCAAATCTTCAAAGTTTTCCAAGTGTTCAAGTCGATGTCGTCTTCGAGTTGAATCTTATAACTTTCCAATCTTAAGGTGGACATATGAGTCCCTTTGCACCTTAAGTTGGCCTCTTCGCGGGTTTGTCCTTAAAAAGAGCTATAACTTTCCAATCTTAAGGTGGACATATGAGTCCCTTTGCACCTTAAGTTGGCCTTGCCGAAAGTCGGGTCGTTTTGAGAGTAATCTCTCCGATAGTCAGGCCACATTGAGAGTAATCTCTCCGATAGTCGGGCCGTTTTGAGAGTAATCTCTCCGATAGTCGAGCCACATTGAGAGTAATCTCTCCGATAGTCGGGCAAGGATGAGTACTCATCCCCTCACAACCCAAGATTATCTTTTTCATGCACGGATCATCTCGTTGAACAAGAACATATCTTTCTCGCTTGGCCTAAAAAAAATGACAAAAGAAGAAAAGCACAAGAAAAGAAGAAGAAATTACCTTCTCGTCAATGCTTCCGAGTCCATAAAACTAGACTCAAGTGACTTGCAAATAATGTGAATGGATGTTTAACAAATACGAGCACGCGGGTTTATATAGACCTTTGAAAGAAGATGTTATAATGATGTTGTCGATGTGGGACTGTACTATTATCTCCTAAATAAAGTCAAAGTACATTTGCCATTCCCAGTAAAATTGGGCTAGCAAAGGCGGCGGTAATGAGCTGTTGTCAACGGGGACTCAAATTGTAGCCTTCAATACCAAATATTCTCTCCTAAAGGGATTTGGATAGTTGCGAGGCAGTGATACAGATGGTTTGGAATTGAGCTACGTGGCAAACTTATCTCAAGGCCTATTGACTTGCAAATTCTATAGGCTGAGCTGAATTATCTCAAGGCCAATTATTTTGCATGTACTGGAGGTCTACTATGCATATGACAATAATGGTTCTCAATTAAAAGAAAGAGTTTTCTTTGGCAAAGTCAAAATGAAATGTTAGCAAGCAATTACAACCGTACATGACTGAAGATTAGAAACTTTGGTGTTTCAAGTATTTGTATAATAATGTTTTTTTTTAAAAGAGAAGGAATGATGCTTCGATATTACTTCAATCCTTGTCTTCAATATTCATCAAAAAAAATATGTATTTTGTCAAGTCTTGAAGTAGGGGGCATTTGTAGGCATATAAATTTTATTAAAATTAAATCCTTAAAATAATTTGGATTATATTATAAATTCAAGATATATTGGTCCAAATAAATATTATGGGCTAATATAATTGAATTAATTATATAAGTCCAATATATATGGATTAAATAAATAAGTCTTAATCTATTGGGCTAGCCTATTTAATTGGGCTAAAGTAATGAGCCCACTTCATTAAGCCCAAGATGACATCTTCCTAGAGGCCCAGTTTGGTGCCACGTGTCAAATAACGTGGCGCGCCAAGTCAAGCGGAAGAGCCAATAGGACCATGCCACGTGTCAAATGACAAGGCATGTCCAGTCACACTAAAAGGCCAATGAAATCGCGCCATGTGTGCAAGTGACATGTTCTGGCCAATCAAATGCGGCCATGTCACACTTCAATTTGATTGGTCGGAAAGAGTTTGTTCTTATCACAACTCCTCCCTTCCACAACTATAAATAGGGGTCTTCATAACTCAGAAAAGGGACCAGAAGACGTAACAAGAAGCAAGAAAGAGCTCATGGATCAAACACTGCAAATTCCTCCACAAGTTTCAAGCTTCAAGCAATCAAGTTCAAGTTCAAGAACGAAGAACAAATCAAGTATTCAAGCTCAAGAAGGAAGAACAATTCAAGTATTCAAGATCAAGAACAAAGTCAAATCAAATACAAGGCGTTCAAGATCAAGGCTACTTGTTCATGATAAAATTCGTGGCAACAATCAAATTGTTCGCGACGGATAAATCAAATTCAAATTCAAGATCAAGCTCAAAGGCCCTTGAATTAATACTGAGAAAGTAGAATCAGAGGATTCATAGAGATTGTAACGCTCATATTATTTGAAATAAAATACTACGATTGTTGCGATATTTTCGGTCTTGATTTTATTTTCTTGACGTAAATTTATTGTCTACACATGGCATTGTATTAAAATATTCAACAATAAAGATAATAAAATCACATAAAATAAATATTATTAATAAGCCATAATGAAAATAAACATAATCTATAGTTACTAAGTTGCTAAAATACGTACGACTAATAAGTACCGTTGAGCTGAGCATGTGTTATGTTATGATGATTAATAAACCATGATTAACCATGTGAAAGAACCAGGTTTCATGTTTCAGGATAATATGCTACTTGGTGTGTAGGAGTGAGATGTAGCTGATAAATGAACCAGGTTCGTAGCAGACTAAAGTATAAGGCTGATCAGACACATGATATCAGAATACTTGTGTAAGTTGGATTCCTCAAGAAATTACATCCGTACTCTACAAGGGATACATTAATTAAGAGGAGTATGTGGTCAAAAGGAATTTTATAAATAGAAGGTTGAAGAGTTGAAAACAAATAAGAAAACCAAATCAAAATAGGAGAGGTTTTTCTTAATCGAAATATTCTAAGTTTTGGAGTATTAATTGAAGAAAATTTTTGGCCAACTTTGCAACACTAATTGAGACTTTTTGTCACAGTTTAAGGTTAATGCTATTGAGAGATATCACATAGAATTACTCCAGGCAATGACAATCAAGGCAAGAAGATACTCTTGAAGACTTAAGCTTTTCAACTTAAGAACATGTTCCAGCAGACGAAACAGTTGAAGTTCTTTAGTTTTTAGATTGAGTCAAATCTTCTAAATTGTAACCTATTTGCTTTTGAGAAATGTAATCATAGGTTAGTACAGAAACTTCGAGTTTTGTTAGCTTCCTAGGCTAGAGTTAGTTTGGGAAGGGGTAACTACAATTTAGTTGATTGTAGGGGTTTTGGTACCAGAGTTGATCCAATTGGTTATAGAGTTGTAACCTAAAACTGCCCATTGAAGTTTACTGAAATTTGAGGAAATCCTACCGGGGGTGTGTCGTAGTTTTCACTCCCTTGAGCAAAGAGGTTTTTCACGTAAAAATCTCTGTATCATTTAATTTTCATAATTATTTATGATCTTTGGGTTTTTTGAAATCACGAAAATCAAATAAGACGTAATTAAACCCCGTTCTTGTGAAATAGATTTTTTCTCTCTCTAGAATGAAATTCCCTCTCAGTGAAAGCTGAAAATGACGAGGAAATCGAAAGCTAGAGGAGGAAGACAACAGAGTCAGGAGAGTGTTCAACAATCATTCAATGCTAGAATTGGAGTTCCGAACTCAACTGATGCGAAGAAAACTCGAAGTATCAACGTACTACAAGGAATCACTCCGTTAGAGTTAAATAATGCAGCAATGGAACAGGAAACACCAGTGAAGCTCATGCATGGAGGTGAGATGGAGCACAATTCATCAGGAAAACAGTCATGGGCAGATGTAGCGGAGAAGGAAGTAGAACATAAAGGTACGTTGGGAGTAGAACCTCAAATTGAACCTAAAATGAGGCTATGGAGCAGAATTGTGGCTAATAGTCCTGATGTAGATGAATTAGAACTGAAAACAAATGAATCTACAAAATAAAATGTCAAAATAACCATGGAGGATATCAAAGAGGAAGTAGAATATTGGAGTAATGCAGTAATCTGTTATGTACTGGGATCTAATCCACCTCCGGTAGTTATGAATGGCTATTTTCATAGAATCTGAGGGAAATTGGGAATAGACAAGGTAGCTCAAGTTAACAGAGGTTTATTTTTGGTTAGATTTACACAAGCTGAAAGTAGAATGAAGGTGTTGGAAGAGGGAGTCCAGATGTTCAACAAAAAGCCTGTCATCATAAAGCCATGGTCACCAGATATAGACACTAGAAAGGATTCGTTCAGTACTGTGCCAATTTGGATTAGGTTCCCTGGTTTGGACATTAAGTATTGGGGGAAAACTGCATTGATAAAAATTGCAGGATTAGTAGGGAAACCTCTAAAAGCAGATAGAGCAACTACATGGAAGGAAAGAATGACATTTGCAAGAGTGTTGGTGGAAGTTACACTTGATCACCCTTATCCTCAAACTATAATGTTTGAAATGAAGTTGGGAAAATTGTGGAGCAAAGGGTGCATTATGAGTGGAAGCCAACATTATGCAAGGAGTGTAACAATTATGGGCATGAGGTGACAGAATGTAGGAAGCATATTCAAATCGAAAAACAGGTAGCAAACAAAAAAGAGTGGGAGGAAGTACAAAACAGTGCAGAAAAAGATGTAATCCAGAATAAGGTAGGGACTGAAGAAGGGAAGCAAAGACAGACTGAAAAAGAACAGGTAGTAACTGGAAGCCATCAAGATAATAGAAGAGAAGGAAAGAAGGCTATATACATACAAAAAGGAAGCAGGGCACAAAGAGGGAAAGATGTTCCTGGGAGCAGTATAAACCTAGGAAACTCTTTTGGGGCATTGGGAGAGAATAGTAGTATGATGCTGATGGAGCAGGAGAAGGAGAGGCTGAGCAAACAGGTGCAGGCTGTAGAAGGAGAACACATATTGGGGAAGGGGGGGAGCCTACCCCAAGAAAATGGATAGTAGGATTTTGGAATACCAGGGGTCTTAATAGACTAGCTAAGCAGGAAGAAGTAAACTTATTTCTGCAGCAGTGTGAGGTTAGTCTGTTTGGACTCTTGAAAACTAAGATTAAGAGAAGAAATGCTCTCAAAGCTTCTCTTAATCTGTGTAATGGATGGTCTCTGACTAATAACTTAGGAGCTCATCCGGGGGGTAGAATTTGGATAGTATGGAAGCCAACAATTATATGCAGGTGCAAGTTGAGTTTGTGTCAGCACAAATGATACACTGTGAAGTAACTCATAGAGGTACTGGAATGACTATTTCTGTTTCTATGGTATATGGATTCAATGATCCAGCCTTAAGAAGGACTCTATGGCAAGAAGTGAGAAATATTAAGAATAATATAAAGGGACCTTGGGCATTGATGGGAGATTTTAATTGCGTGCTGAACAAAGAAGATAGGGTAGGAAGACCTGTTACTATGGCTGAAATAAGAGAATTCAGAGAATGTATAGGTGAGTGTGGTCTGCAGGAGCTGAGATCATCTGGGGCATTCTATACATGGAATAACAAACAAGAAGGGGAGGATAGGGTATACAGCAGAATAGACAGGGTATTAGTCAACATTGACTGGATTATAACATTACCAGTCTCAGAAGTGCACTATATGAATGAAGGGTTGTTTGACCACTGTCTAGCTATAATAAACTGGGACAAGGGGAAAAGAAATGCTAGAAGTCAATTTAAGTACTTCAATATGTGGAAAATGGCTAGTGATTTCAAGGAAAGAGTTAAACAAAGCTGGGAAAAGAGGATAGAAGGTATTAAAATGTTCAAAGTCATTGGCAAAATGAACAGACTGAAGGCAGTGTTGACAAAGCTGAATAAAGAAAGATTTGCTGAGGTTGAAAGGAAAGCTGATCAAGCCTTAGAAGAACTAAAGAAATGTCAAGCAGTACTGCAGCAAGATGGTAGGAATAAAGGGTTGATTGAAAGTGAAATTCAGCTAACAAAAGAGTGTAGGATGTGGGGAGAAGCTAGGGACACATATCTAAGACAGAAAAGTAGAATGCAATGGCTCACTAAAGGGGATCAAAATACAAAATTCTTTCATAGTGCAATAAAAGAGAGGAGAAACATGAATAGAATTTTCTCAGTGGTAGATACTCAAGGGGTTGCTAGAAGAGATACAGAAGAGGTCTCCCAAGCTTTTATAGAGTTTTATGAAAAGCTACTTGGGGAGAAAAATGAGAACAGGAAGAATGTATGCAGTGAACTTGTTAGAAAGGGTCCAATTCTGTCATAGGAACAAAGGGACTGGCTTATATGAGATTACTAGGTAGAAGATGTCAAGGCAGCAGTTTGGTCGATAGTAGGGGATAAAGCACCAGGGCCAGATGGATACACAAGTCAATTTTTCAAGGACTGCTGGGAGATTGTTAACAAGGATGTGGTAGAAGGGGTACTGAAGTTTTTTAAAAAAGGAAGCATGCAGAAGAGTTTAAACACAACAAGAATTACATTAGTTCCAAAGAGCAGCCATGCAGAACTAGTGGGTGACTACAGACCAATAGCCTGTTATAATACACTGTTCAAGGTATGAGATTGAAGGGGGTACTACCAGGAATCATATCAGCAAATCAGAGTGCTTTTGTGGCAGGTAGAAGTATAGTGCAAAATGTCCTAATATGCCAAGACCTTGTCAGATTATACAATAGAAAAGCATCGGTAAGAAGCTGCCTTATAAAGATAGATTTAAGGAAGGCGTATGATACGGTGGAATGGGATTTTGTTCGTGAGATGCTACATGTCCCACACAAATTCATCCATTGGATTATGCAGTGTATTACAACTACCAGGTACTCAATAGCACTTAATGGAGGAGTTTATGGGAACATTGAAGGGAAGAGGGGTTTAAGACAAGGAGACCCAATTTCACCCTTAATATTTGTCATTTGTATGGAATATTTTACAAGAATTATGCAGCAAGTAACTACAATACAGGGATTTGAGTTTCACACAAAGTGTAGAGGGCTAAAACTGAATCACTTGTGTTTTGCTGATGATGTGCTACTATTCTGCAAAGGAGAAATGGCATCAGTGATGTTGATGTTAAGGGGATTGGCTGCATTTTCAGAAGCTACAGGATTGAGAACAAATGCAGCCAAATCAAACATATATAGTGCAAACATGAATGAGCAAGACCTGGTTGACCTGTGTGATCTGACTGGTTACAAAAGAGGTACTCTGCCTTTTAGATATCTGGGAGTGCCAATTTCAGCAAAAAAAAAAAAATCTCAAGTGTGGACTGTGAAATGCTGGTAGATAAAATGTGTACTCGAATCAAGAGTTGGGGTTCAAGAAACTTGTCCTATGCTGGGAGAGTGTTACTGATAAACTCAGTGTTATTGCATATTCATACATATTGGTCCTCCATTTTTATTCTTCCAAAGAAGGCATTAAAGAACATTACTGCTATCTGTAGGAACTTTCTATGGGATGGGAAAGTAAATACAAATAGAGTTCCATTAGTTGCATGGGATCTTATTTGCAGGCCTAAAATAGAGGGGGGACTTGGGATCATTGACTGTGAAACTTAGAATCAAGCAGCTATAGCCAAATATGTTTGGAATATAGCTAAGAAAGCTGATAATCTGTGGGTGCAATGGGTGAATCACATATACTTAAAGAAGAGGGAATGGTGGCAGTACAAACCACCACAGGATAGCAGTTGGTACTGGAAAAAGATATGCTCTATTAGAGATTAATTTGCTGCAGGATATGTGCAACAAGACTGGTTGGCAATTAATGGAAAATACACAATAAAAAGTGGGTATAGCTGGAAACAAGGAAGAAGAGAGAAATGGGAGAGTAGTAGATGGGTGTGGAGCAGAAACAACATCCCAAAGCATAGTTTCATTTGCTGGTTAGCTATGCACAGAAGATTTCTAACGAGAGAAAGGTTGGCCAAGAAGGGGATATGCCAAGAGGATCATTGTGTTACATGTGGGGAGACAACAGAAACGATAGAACATCTAATTTTTTAATGCAATTACTCAAAGAAATGTTTAATTGGGATACTGGAATGGCTAGATATGGGAATACAACAATACAGATTGGAAGGATTGTGGAGAAGAATGACAATGAAGAAAAGGGGCAAAGCATGCAGCACAATCATAAGCGCAGTATTGGCAGCAACTATATATCACATATGGAAAGTCAGAAATGATGCATTGTGGAATCATAAAGTCCCAAAACCGCATAAGGTAATAAGCAATGTAAAAGAGGAATGCAGGATGAAAATGTAAGGAATCATGGAGAGGAAATCAACATCAAAAAGACAGAGATTATGGATAAAGAATTTACTGTAAATGCTAGATGAATAGATAGGTTACTATGTGGAAATAGTATAGAAACATAGAAAGAAGTAAAATAGATGGAGGAACTATGTGTATAACTGAGTTCGTTTGTGGTGATTAATAAAGATTATCTCTTTCACCAAAAAAAAAACCCTGTTCTTGTGTCCAACTAAAATAACAGCTACATTAGACATTGATCAATCTTGATAAGAATGATCATAATGGGAACATTACAACTTTAGAGGTTTGTTATCACATAGAACATTAGAAACAATATTAACAAACAATTCACATTAGAAAAGTTCAGAAAATTAAGGAATGTATGGTAAACTTACATATTGAGAGTCAATATCCAATTTTAAAACTGATCATCAACTTGTTTTATACTAGTAGTATATAATAAATATTAATCTCTAGGCAGATTATTCAAGACTATAGACACATTAACAGAGGCTCTAGGCACTGACAACAATCCTAGAGTCGCTGCTGCTCCTAGTGTTAAACAACCATCACTGCACTGGATTTCTAGCTTCTGCAACACAGATGCATTCTTTATTATATTAATCACAAGTCTGATTTCACGCTCTTTTCCAGTAAAACCACTAATCCGCACCAATCTCAGATGATGAGTAAGACAATCTACCAATTCTTTGCTTTCCCAAAACCAATGCTCCTGAGGCAGAACGGCTTTAGAATCTCGAATCTTGTCAGCCTGCATCAGAAGCTAAAGTCAGCGAGTTCAGAAATAGTGTGATCCAATCTTATAATACCATTTTTTTGGTCATATATAAAAAAAAAGGCAGCCCGGTGCACTAAGCTTCCGCTATGCGCAGGGTCTGGGGAATGACTGGACTACAAGGGTCTATTGTACGCAGCTTTACTCTGCATTTCTGCAAGAGCTGTTTTCACGGCTTGAACCCATGACCTCCTGGTCACATGGCAGCAACTTTACCAGTTACGCGAATTATCCCTTTCTTTTTGGTTATATATATAGATCATTCAAGTTGAAAGTGGTATGTTCTATCAAACAAACAGAACTCGTCATAAATCCATCCACATTAGTCCCAAAAAAAAGCAGTTCGGTGCACTAAGCTTCTGCTATGTGCGGGTTCTGGGGAAGGACCGGACCACAATGGTCTATTGTACACAACCAGTGGTGGACCCAGGATTTTGTGCAAGCGGGTTCAATCTTAGAAGTACATAACTTTAGTCGTAAAACAGTAGTTGTCAAGTGGGTTCAAATAAAATATTTATAAAAAATTTACGCAGCTTTAATAGTAATTTATATATATACACAATATTATTTTTTAATAGTAACTGAACCCGCTTGCCACCACGTGCGTCCGCCACTGTACACAACCTTACCCTACATTTCTACAAGAGGCTGTTTTCACAGCTCAAACCTGTGATCTCCTAGTCACATAACAGTAACTTTACCAATAACGTCAAGGCTCCCTTCTCCGTCTAAATTAGTCTATAATCTATAAATATACAAACCTGATTAGTGATATCAAGCGTTTGAAGATGGCTCCAATTCCTGAAGACGTAGCTAAGCACAATGTGGTCACTCATGTTGTTCAAGTCTAAGCCGGTGCATAACACACGCACCCCAATGAATGGGATTCCGTTCTTATAGCGTTTATAATCTCGGTACTGCATCCAATAAACAAATGAATATATATATGTCAATCATGGTTCAAAGTAGGGGCGAAGCTACATTCTCGTAAGCGTATTGATCACCCTTCGTCGAAAAATTATATTGTGTATATAGGTAAACTATTAGATTTTAAAGTTATATAACATATATCGGACATCCTTTATCGAAGAACTTTTTTCACTTTTTAAAAATTTGAATGCCCTTGGAAAAATTTCTAACTTCGTCGCTACTGGTTCCAAGACCTCTTTTTTTTTTTTTTCCGAACAATTTGACTTACTTATTACAATATGTTTAGCCAAGCTTCTGAGAAGTCACAAATATTTTTATTTTATTTTTAAAAAGTGCTTATTGTTTGAGCAAGGTATTTATCTTAGGCGTTGAGGTGTTTGGCCAAACTTTTTAAGAAAAAATTAAATGCTTTTGAGTGGTAGCGATAGCTGTTTTTTCAGAAGATGAAAAAAGTAGCTTAGCTTTTTCCAAAAGCACTATTAGAATCTTGATCAAGCACAAATTACTGGTCTAATATTTTTAAAATTAATTAGTCAAACTCAAACTGTTACTCTCTTAAATTACTTCTACGAACAACAACAACAACAACAACAACAACCGAGTGGAATCCCACATGTGGAATCTGAGGAGGGTGGTGTGTACGCACACCTTACCCCTGCCTATGAAGGTAAAGAGGCTGTTTCCGAAAGGCCCTCGGCTAAACTGTTACTCTCTTAAATTACTTCAACGAAAGCGGAAAAAAAGGAAACACTTTTCAAAATAAGCAGATTTTGGAAGTTTGACCAAACAGAAAAACTTACCGGCCTCAAACCAGTGCACCACTCTAGCAGATCATTGTTGTCTGTCTGGACGACCCGAAGGTTCGGACAATCAATATGTGATACTTCAGAGGAGTAAGAGGAAGGTTGAAACACCAACTCAGTCAGACCTTCAGATACTGAAGTAAACTTCATTATTATATCAACATCTTTAATCTCTACTATATTGAGTTTGTTGTGTTGAATGTCAATATTAAGCTTGGTACAACGACAAATAAGACTCAAATTCTCCAATGAAGAACAATTATGAACAATGCCTTTTAGGGTTTCACTGTCTAAATAGACAGCAATGAGTTTTAGGGTTTTAACATTGACACAACCTTCAAATGGCGAAGCCTCATTCAATACATATTGATCTAGCTCCACCACTTGAAGAAATCTACCATGGAATATGTTAGGGATATAGTAGATATGCCCTAGATCCAATATCATATTTGATGATTTGAACATATTTTTGCGAACGTCATTTGATATAATATATATGGCATTTGATATTCTTATCATTATTATTAATAGCTTGATTAATATGATAAGGTCCTTGATTAAATTTTGAGATTTGTCATCGTGATAGGGATCATGATAATGAGAGCAAAGTCTCTTACAATTTAATCTGAATTTGTTCTTGATCGTAGGATTATTAATCTGGACATTAGTAATCCGTTAGATCAATATTTATGTGGTCGTCTTTATGGGATAAAGATTAGTTGATCTCATTAACTAAATCACATAGATAGATGATGCATATAGAGATATGATCATTGAGCCGACTCATTGGATATTTGTTACTGGACCTAATAGTGACTTTATGCTGTGTTGCAGCCACTGGGCTCCAGGACGAGCCCAAACGAAAACGTAAAAAGGTTAAAACTTACGTGCAACACCATAAACCTGACCAAAGCAGATCT